TAATATATATTATAAATATATTGATGTAATTTAATAATTTTATATTGTTTAGTCCTGTGTATCATACGTGAAGCATTTTTGTATTCAACGCATTAAGAAAACATAAAAGTGGCATTTTATCTATATATACTATGTCTATGGGTAGAGAGAGAAGCTTACGGCAACCAACCCGCCGCTCATAATGACTCATCGTGGCTTGATTCATTGCATAAATAATTCGTAGTTAACAGTTAAGGGCGAGTTTACCAACCACGGTTAACTGCTAACCGAAGGTTAATTGATTCTCTGTCTGTTATTTAGACAATAAGATAGAAAGAGATAGGGAGTTGAACTCTGGTTAACAGTTGACCGACGTTTGTGAAACTGGCCCCAAGTGATGTCATTACGAGTTTTAATAGGATGATATACAGGGTGATTCAATTAAATGTTGACACACCCATTATTTCCCGAACTAAAGATGTTAAAACGCTGTTAACCGATTGCGAGAGAAATAATATACAATTATTTATTCAGACGTAACAAACGTTATATCTTTGACTACGAATTATTTATGCAATGAATCAAGCCACGATGAGTCATTATGAGCGGCGGGTTAGTTGCCGTAGCTTCTCTCTCTACCCATAGACATAGTATATATAGATAAAATGCCACTTTTATGTTTTCTTAATGCGTTGAATACAAAAATTCTTCACGTATGATACACAGGACTAAACAATATAAAATTATTAAATTACATCAATATATTTATAATATATATTATATATATAATAACAGCGCTAGACTCGCATTCATAACATTGTTTCCGTTATTATATCATTATAAATATGTATTAAAATTGTTACGAAAAGAAATTCGCAACCTTTGCAGAAACCTTTACGAAATTTTTTATAGGTGTAGAAGTAGTTGGAGGTGAAAATGACGAAAAAAGCAACTTCTCAACATTTATAGTTTCTTCTGGATTAAACAACAATAATGGATTATATCGCCGGTAACTGGCAAAATGTATTTTAATTAATTCACGACGTTTCGACCAGTAATACTGGTCCTTCTCAAGTGTCACCAATTAAAAGTATTACAATTCAATAAATGCATTGAAGAAACAGAACTAGACAAAATCGGAGCAATGAAAATTTTAGAAATAATAAATAAAATTATTGCATTACCTTTTCACTTTACGATATATTAAATTTGTTCGCACATGTGTTATATATGATAAATTGACCGAAGACGAACAAGAATTGAAACAAGATCTGAATTAATCTTTAATTAAATAATGCAATAATTTTGATCAGCATAAAGCATTAATTTTTAAGAATATTTATAAATTTGAAACATCCATATATAAGCCGTTTTTCAAATTAATGGGACTGCATGAAATAATTAACGATCGAATAATTTTTAGTGCATCCTTCATATCTCACAACCGAACATTGATGCCATTACACGTTACATATGGTATAGTCTGTGACATTGTACATCTGTGATATTCATAATTGAAATCTAAGAAATAATACCCTAATAACTGCACCGTGTGTGCATATTGTTCACTCGGCTGTAGCTTCCTCAATTTTTCCAGAACCGCTGCCACGCCGTTCGCAACCGCGACCTGTTCCTCCAGTAAACTGTTCACTTCACGCAGACACAACGTGGTAACGTCGTACTTAGAGATATCGATTGAAAGTCCCAGTTCGCTCTTTATCTCATCTTCATCACTGGTCAAGCAGTCCAGCATAGCTAAGCTTGCGACTTCTTTGGGCGTAATTTTCTTAATGTACACCCATCTACGAAAAGCTTTTGTGTTTGACTGGTTATACGTTAACAAGGCATTCAATGCGCACACAGTCGCAGCTTTCCTATACAAATTATTGCTGTAATATACAACGCTCAATCTGTCCAGCACGAAAGAGATAATATTCTCAAGATTCCTGAAGCTCTCAGAATCTGTAGGGCTCGGTTCGACTCCGTCGAGTCGAGAGATGCAACTGCACAAAAAGGTGAACAAACAGTAAACACACGCTTTCCTCGTACACATGTTCAGACAGTACTTACGCCTACGTTGTAAGATAAATTGTGACACGTGTTCCACGATTGTCTCCAGCGCTTACCTTGTTGGCCTCCAGGGCCGAGAACCTCACCGGCTCCTGCGGCTTGTCTGGATTTATCTTGATGACTCTCGCCTTCTTAAACACGTCCAACTCGATCAGCCACTGCGCCACCTCCGCGGCGCCCTTGAAGTTCGGTATACGCTTGTATATGTTGACGGGGAAGTTGACCAGCTCATTCTTCGTCATGTAGTCCCACACCTTGCGGCGGAAGCTCGACTTCGTCACCTCCTCGGCTGCAAGAAATCGTTGAACGTGAGGCAGTTCTGATCCTTCTCATATATACCTTAACAATTTAAGCATCAACTTAAGTTAAGTAATCATTTTTATTAAAATATTATTTATTACAATTCTAAGAAAATAATTATAATATTGTAATCATATATTGATTCATAACAAATAATTCATATTAGTAAGCATAAAAACTAACAAAGAAAATCTGATTGCACAACTAAATAACATATAGAGCAAATCCATTTTTCTGTTACACATTTTTCGGCAATTGATATTAAATTATTTATATTTTTGATATTATACAGGGTGAGTTTTTTATCTTGAGACAACGAAAAATCTCGAGAACTGCACATCAAATCAAAAAAAGTTTCAGACAAAAGTTGTATGGTTTCGAAGGGGCCATAAGACGGTACCATTGGTTTGACCTTGAAGAATTATTTGAAGGTCACATAAAGGTCACACCAATTTTTTTAAATGGCATCCCCTATTTTTTATTACATATTTTTGTAGCTATAAACCTCGAGAGCTTTCCAAAACGCTTGAAAGTTCCAATATTTTGACAATGTAAATTACAAAATATCTTGTAAAATATTAATTTTTTTATCATCTTACCTTATGCACAACAAGCGCGGTATCCGCAGTTCAGGCACGCGCGCAGAAGACCGCCGGAACCGCTCAGCGCTGAGCGCGGAAATCGTGTAGCGCAGGTGCGAACACCTGCTGTAGGGTGACGGACGACACACAAAGAGAAACGCTCCGATTTGAACTCTCAAAACACAGTAACTTTATTGTTCTCAAAACGAAGGACGAAGAAGACTTTAGTTGCACACACGGGCGACTGCGGGGCAATAGGCGGCAGAGGTCAAACGGTCGGACATCTTCCGAACCCGTAAATCCTGCTTGGTTGGCGCGGCGGAAATCTTGACGAGCGTTGCATTAACGCCCAGCCGAGTCGGACAATCTTGTTCGCCGGAAATCTTGTCGCGGAGCAGGGGGTTCTCGCGAGCGCGAACCGCCAAATGTTATGCCGTTACCATACCCGTGCAGCTATATCTCGCACCTTATCATTAAACACTTACCGCACACAAATTTGAAAGGAACCGCGTTTACCGGAGACGCGGATGAGCGGGTGGAACGGAGCGCGAGCACGTGGAGCGCGTCGAGGAACCGTTCGCGAACTGTGTTGAGCACTAAACGGCGAGAGCGTCGAGAACGGCGCTGAAACTCTGGAAGAGAGATCCCGGTCGCGAGGTCCGCGGACAAGACAAGAGCGCGGGCACACGCGGAAGCGATGCAGGCAATCTTTTTGCTTAAAGGGCGGACTCGCACGGGGATGCTCACGTCACCTGTTGTAAGACGAGACTGAACGCGGAACGACCGATTCCGCGGGCGCGAAAAGGCGGCAGAAAGATAATTGGCCGAGCAACATCGTGCGACGCGATCACCGAATAAGATGCCGGCACAAAAACTCGGCCATACGCTCAACACGTGCCCGCGCCGTGCCATCGAGATTTAAACGGGCGCGAATTCTTGGGCCGGAGCGACAATAGATCGCGCTGCGATGCCGGATCGTATCGCAATCCTGAACATACCTTAATACTTTTTTGAACAGAATGATGATACAAATCAACTGGTGTAAAGAAAACAAACAATTTTGTAACAAGCAATTTAAAAAAATTTTTTTTTGCTTGTTACAAAATTGTTACAGTTACAGTTACTTTGTTTTATAACTCTAATTTAACTTCGTTACTTTCTCTCCATCTGTAACTGTAACTTAACTCATTGTCAGTTATATTACTTTTTTTTTTAAACTTCCACAGAGTGCATTAGACCTTGCATTTGCACATAAACGCCTATCAACGCTTTACAATTCAAATGCAGATTTAATATTTTTATTTTTATTGCAAGAAAGTAACTGCGAAGTAACGATCATTCATTACTTTTTGAGTAACTGTAACCTTTCAAAATTCGTAACTTGTAACTGTAACTAGTTATATTATTGGCAAAAAATTGTAACTGTAACTAAATACTTTTATAAAGTAACTTTCCCAACCCTGATTACACCTAACTTGTCTGATTGTCTCATATTGTCATATTGTTTCAAATATGGAAATTTGTCAAATCTCAGACTACGACTTTAGGACTTTTATGTAGACGAGGCTTAAGTTAGATTAGGTTATTTACAGGTATTATACGTTTTATGACGTATTTTACCGTAAAATACCGTAAAATGTAAAAATCCCTAGAAAATGCACGGATAACCAACCCTGAGTACATACGACTCGTCGTTGACACGCGGGCCTAGGGAAAAGTTGAACGTCGCCCGCCGCCACCGCCACTGCCGCTGCCGCCGCAGCCGCGCTGCTGCCGCCGCCGTTGCCGCCGTCGCCGCCGTCGCCGTCACCGTCGACAGAGCAAAGCGAGCGAAAGAGCTGGGTCTTCCTTCCGTTCCGCGCTACGCCACGCCACGCCGCGTCGTGTCGTGCCCAGCCGTGCCGTGTCGTGCCGTGCTGTGCCGTGCAGTGTCGTGTCGCGTAGCAGCCGTGCCAGGCAGCGTTTTCTTGGTCTCGCGCGACGTCGTAGGGCACGCGGCAGACGAGGAAGAAACCCGAGGAAGACCGAGACGAGAGAGCGCGCGCGCCAGCGACGGTGAAGCTAACGCGAGCGACAGCTCAACTCCGCCAAACGCTCGAGCGCCGTTTTCCTCCGCCTCCTCCTCCTCCTCCTCCTCTTCCACCCCGCCTGCTCCACGCTCCGCTTCCCGCCCGGCGCAAACATGAATGAGGAGTACGACGCGATCGTCCTCGGCACCGGCCTGAAGGAGTGCATCCTCTCGGGCATGCTGTCCGTCAGCGGCAAGCGGGTGCTGCACATCGACCGCAACAAGTACTACGGCGGCGAGTCGGCCTCCATCACGCCCCTCGAGGACCTGTTCAGGTGGGCACTCCGGACGTCTTGTCCGTCGCACTTTGGCCCCCCCCCCTCATTTTCTCTGGCTTTCCGGAGCAGCGCGAAAGTTCAGGGGACGATGTCTTCCCTTCCCGAGCGCGATCCTTGAAACCGTTTCGATAATCGTTTGCCGACGTTTTACGTTACGCGAATCCGCCCCTCTCCCCCTCCTTCCGGCCACCCCCCTCTCCCGGCGGGAACCATCGTTGTCGACCGACAGCTGGGGCGACGTGACAATATGACTGCGGATATCGACCTGACTTCCTTCCGCGATCGAGATCCTTGCCGATCGATGCGCACGCGGGAAACGAAAAAGGGGGAAAGAGTCGTACGGTAGTCCGAGCGGCGAGGGAGAAGGGGGGGAGGGGGAAAGAGATACGTTCCCGGCGGGAACGTAACGTACCGTCGGAACTGCGCCGCATACGGGCGAGGGGGAAGCGTATCGATTCTCGAGCCCGCATTCCCGCCGTGCGCGCGAATCGTCCGAACGTGGCCGCGCTTTCGGCCCCCGGTTGACGGCAGAGAAGCGATCCGTAAACACTCGAGACTGTCTTATTGTTAGTCGTAGACGCGAGGCGAGACGGAGAGAAAAACGTCGGTCGTATGCAACGGTCTTTCACGGCTTACGTTTTTCTCTGGTTTTCACCAACGTCGATTAACTTTTTCGCCCTAGTCGCCTTTTGTCTCTTTCCAAGGTGACGGTTGGAAAGAGACGAGACTGAATTTTAAACTAACGGGATAATACAAAGAGAGATAGAGAGTGGTTAACAGTTAACCGACGTTAGTGAAACTGACCCTAAGGCCGGTTTCACCAGACGTCGCTTAACTGCGATTCTAAAGGCTTGTTTTCTGTTCTTACACTAGTGAACTAGTGCAATAAATTAGAGCAAGACAGGCATATATTTTCTCATTCTACCTTACTGCACTAGTTCACCAGTGCAGGAACAGAAAACAAACCTTAAGGTTTTCTGTTGCTGCACTGGTGAACTAGTGCAATAAGTTAGAGTAGGACAAGTATATTTTTTCTCATTCTAGCTTACTGC